AAATAACAACTATGTTCATTAATCACTTACCATGTGCCATGAAGCTCTGTGGGAATAGGAACTTTACCTTACTCACTTGTGTCCCCATTCAATACTGAAACAACAAATATTCACTGACTATGTGCTGAGTTTCAGACACATCACTAAAAAAAACATATTCTAAATTGCGGCACTTGTATTATAGAGAGACAGCAAAGGGAACTGAAATTAACGAGAAATTAAATTATACAGAATAATTAGAAGTGCAATGGAAAGAACAAAAAGTAGAGCAGAAACTTCCACCTCTATACAAACTTGAGTAAAAAGAACTAGATTTGCTTCCCACCTAAAAAGACCAAAAAACCAGAAAATAGAAACGAAAGTGTTCAAACACTGAACATGCAGTAACAAAGGACAATAATCCCTATAAGGAAGCAAACAAAGGAGGTGAGCATTATATTTGACCCTAGCTTAGCACTGCGGGGAAAGAGAATCCAGGCAGACCTTGGCAAACACTGAGTTGAGCTTCAGTTACAAGCTGTGGGCAAACAAGACATCCAGAGTTCACAGGACAAAGTAAGGAAGAGGCAAGAGAAGCACAGAGAGAGATGCCTGGATATCTATCTGCAGAGGGTCCCTCTCAGGTCTTCAGTTGAGTACTGGAAAGTCCATGCAAGTGAGTAAAATACCCAAGACCAGAGAAGGAAATAATTTAAAAGAATTAGAGAAGAGTGCCATCACTCACACAGGGCCAGAAACAGTACCTATTCCCACCAACCCAACTGGTAAAACTCTTAATTCAGAGAATTATGTAGAATACCCAAGAAGGTCATATATCAGTAATGAGCAGTAATTAGCCTCAGACTGAAAAAAAGCAAATGATCATAAAAGCAAGAACTAAAGGATCAAACTGTTTCCAAATAAGTGCATTCCAGAAAAAAGCTCAAGAATATTTTTAGAATTAAAAAACATTCAAGACAAAATTCATAATGGCTGGCATCTAATCAAAAATTACTAAGCATACAAGGAAGAAGGAAAACACAACCCATAATGAAGAAAATAATTATTATGAGGTGAATAATCAAAACCAACCCAGAACTAACACAGCTGTTAGAATTATCTCACAAGAACATTAAAACAGTCATTACAACTATATTCCATATGTTCAAAAAGTTAAGTAGAGGGCCGGGTGCGGTGGCTCACGCCTGTAATCCTAGCACTCTGGGAGGCCGAGGCAGGCGGATCGTTAGAGCCCAGGAGTTCGAGACCAGCCTGAGCAAGAGCGAGACCTCGTCTTTACTAAAAAAATAGAAAGAAATTAGCTG